TGTGGTGAGGTCTGCATGGGAGAAACAGGTCCAAGGTACATGGGCCGCCCAGAGATTAAGAGGAAAGCTCTTGAATGTTAAAAATACTCTAAAGAAGTGGACGTCGAAGTGTTTGGTAATGTGGATACCAAGATAAAAAGTCTAACCAAGGAATTAAAGGAGCTGGATGCGAAGAATGAGGATTACTTTCTTGTAGAATCAGAAAGGATTAGGCAAAAGGAGCTAGTGGATGCTATTTGGTGTGCTCGGAGGAACAAACTAAGCTTGTTATCTCAAAAGGCGCGAGTTCGTTGTGGTAAATATGGTGATTTAAATTCCAAATATTTTCATGCTTGTATCACGGGAAGGCAGCGACGTAACTAGATTATTGCTTTGAAGATAGGTGAGCAAATGGTAGAGGAGATTTATGAGATGAAAGAGGTTGTGAGGTCATATTTTGAGGAGCATTTCAAAGCTAGAAGTTGGCTTAGACCACGATTGTCAGTTGTTGGTTTTCCTGTGTTGTCTAATGCACAAAATGCAAGATTGGTTGGTGACTTTACTGAGGAGGAAGTGTGTTGTTTGATTAGGGAGAGTGATGGCGACAAAAGTCCAGGACCTGATGGGTTTAATTTTGCTTTCTTGAAGAGATTTTGGCCTCTTGTCAAGGTGGATGTGATGGATTTTCTTGCTGAGTTTCATACTAACTTGAAGGTTCCAAAGGCTCTTTTGTCTTATTTTGTGGCCTTGGTCCCCAAGGTTCCCTGCCCTCAAGGTATGACTGATTTTCGTCCTATTTCGTTGCTTGGGTGCTTGTATAAAATTATTTTTAAGGTATTGGCGAATAGATTGCGTGGTATTCTTCCATCAATTATCTCAGAGAATTAGTCTGCTTTTATTCCTGGTAGACATATGTTGGATAGTGTTCTAGTTGCGGCCGAGGCTATTGATTATGCTCAGAAATATAAGAAGCCAATTTTTGTTTTGAAGATTGATTATGAAAAGGCATATGACTCTGTGGAGTGGGATTACTTGTTGTTCATGCTCCGAGGGTGTGGTTTTGATGAGATATGGGTTCGGTGGATGGAAGGTTGTGTATGTGGGGTAGTCTATCAGCCCTTGTGAATGGGAGTCCCACGGCGGAAGTAACTATTGGTAGGGGATTAATGCAGGGAGATCCATTAGCACCATCTTTATTCCTAATTGCTGCAGAAGGTCTCAGATTGTTGATGACCAGGGCCTTAGATATGAATCTATTTACGGGATTACACTTGGGTGGTGAAAGTCCACCAATTTCTCTTTTGCAGTTCGCTGATGATACTTTGATAATTGGAGAAGCTAATATGCAGAATTTGTGGTGCTTAAAGGCCATATTGCGTTGTTTTGAGTTAATTTCAAGAATGAAAATTAACTTTCACAAGAGTTGGGTGGTTGGCATTCACTCAGGGGTAGATTTTATTGATTTGGCGGCTTCTTTTTTGCATTGTAAGGTGGGTCAACTACCGTTTAAGCATTTGGGTTTACCTCATGGTGCAAATCCTAGGAAGTTGGCTACTTGGAGACCAATACTTGATGGCTTACGTAAGCATCTATCCTTTTGGAAGCATAGGCATTTGTCCATTGGGGGGAGGGTGACCTTTGTTCCCTCTCTAATTTTAATTTTTCTAGTAGTGTTTCCTGGTTGAAATGCATGATGATGCCTATATTTGTCATACGTATTGTGCATATGATATATAGATTGAATTGTGTTCTTCATATGTGATGTTGACTTGTGATGAAATGTGTTATTGTATTGTAAACTGAGGTGTTGATGTTGTCTTGCTTGAGTTAATAATATGTTGTATTTGAAAAGTTGCAAGTTGATAATTTGTTGAAGCAAGTTTAATTATTTGTGTTGATAGTATAGTTGCTTTTACTTCTAAGTTGATTATATTGATTCTTTGGACACTAACTTACCCTCACATGTTTCCAAGTGGTTGGACTACAATCATATTTGGTATGAGAGTAAAGTAGAGATAGGTTATTTTGATGGAGTCCTTGGGAGGCCATATTGGTTGGCAGATCTGATCTTATTGAGTCTATCTTGTGTAGAGATATTATTTGTATTTAGTAGGTTTTACTAGCCACTAGGATTATTATTTGTATTTGTATTATTATATATCTTTATATGCTTATATAGAATTTATCTAGTTCTTGGTGAAGTTTTTACATGTATATATATTAGTATTTACTTTTCTAGATAGCCTTTGAATAATAATTCTAGGTATTTAGTTGTGTATGTTGTCCACAACTAGTTGTGAACCATTAAGCATAGGAATCTGACGAGTTGTCATAAGAAAAGAGTGATTTTGTACTATATAGTTTTGAACAAAAAAAATACTTTAATAGACTATTTTACCTTTAATTATATTTATATATATATTTGTTCAATAACTCATATTCTACATCAAATTTCAATGGTCTGATCGTTGAATTTAAAGTGAACCATTAAGTATAAGGACCTAACGAGTCGTCACAAGAAAACAATGAGTTTGTAATATATAGTTTTGAATAATATATAGTTCCAAATAGCCTTTGAATGATAATTCTAGGTATTTAGTTATGTATTTTGTTCGCCGCTAGTTGTGAAACATTAAATATAAGGACCTGACAAGTCATTACAAGAAAAAAGTGAGTTTGTACCGTATAGTTTTGAACGAAAAAAAATATACTTTAATAGACTATTTTACCTTTAATTATACATATATATATATAAGAGGAATCTAATTGTTAAAGTTAAAGTTCTTAATGTATATAACAAATATGCAAATTTAAAAAAAAATGAAAGTTATTTGATATTTTGTTTCATTAATTCAAATCAACGTATAAAATACTTTTATAATTATTCGTCAATTTGAATTAATGAAACGAGGTATCAAATGATTTTTAATTTTTTTAAAGTTTGTAGATTTGATCTATACATTAATAATTTAAAATTCAACGGTTGGATCATTGAAATTTAATGTAAAAAATGAGTTATTGAATGGAGTAAATTTTATTCCTAGAATAAAAGGATTCATCTATATATATATATATATATATATATAT